TCTAAGCTAAGGACACATTAACTTAAAAAAGAATTCGTCAAAATTTGTCAAACCTTGGACTTAAAGTAGAGCTTGAAATTTTCTTTGATAATTTGAATATATTATTCATATTCCAGTTATTTACTTACATTTATCTAAGCCAAGGAAACGTTAACTTTAAAGTGAATTCCTTTAACTTATGCCAAAACTTAAAGTGAAGCGACTTAAAGTGGAGCTTGAAATTAGTTTTTAATACTTTGAATATATGATTCATATTCTACTTATTCACTTACACTTATCTAAATTAAGGAATGTTCATTTTAAATTAATCCATATTGACCGTATTAATTATTTGAATTAATTATACGTTTTATCTAAGGTCTTGTTTGAAATGAAAAAGGTAGTGTCCCGCTTGTGAAACTTGCTTTTCATCTCAACCAAGATCTTAGATAAAAAGTATAGTTAATTAAATCCATTACAGTTCGTGGTCCGTTTGACCAATTAACTTTTTTCAATTAATTAATATTTATGAAAGGTATTGGTTGAGATAAAAATGTAGTGCCACGAGCGTGATTCGAACCCACCTTCGGCTAAATACGCCGCTGCTCGAAGTAACGATAGCTCAAGTTGTAGAGCAGCGGCGTTTTTAGCCGAAGGTTGTGGGTTCGAATCCCGCTCGTGACACTGACTTTTTATCTCAACCAATACCTTTCATAAATATTAATTAATTGGAAAAAGATTATTAATTAAGTTAATTTTAAAGAGATTTTTTTACGAGGGTTCGTAACAACAGAGGTTATATCAACCCTCGGGGTGCCAGTTGAAAAAAAGCCCATTTCTAAGTATGTTGGGTTCGAAAGCAGGGCCGCTGGATTTGAACCCAGGACCTTTACCTTACAGTGATGAGCGCCGTGTCAACGCCTAAATTGTTGCGGTCACCGACGCCCCTTTAAAGAGAATTCCTTAACCTTTGCCAAACTTGGGCTTAATATGGAGCTTGAAATTATTTTTGAATACGTTGAATATAGGATTCATATTCCAGTTATCCACTTACACTCACCTAAGTTAAGGGAAAGTTAACTTTAAATAAAATTCCTTAATTGTCCTTTTTAAGCTTTTATGTATTTTTAGTAGATGGAGTAGTCAATATTTCTCCATCAACCTGCATACAATAGCAAACTAATCTAATTAGGGTCGATGGGATACTTTTATAAATATACCGCCATCGACCCAAGTCACGTACACAGGTCGATTGCGCGACGGGGATGCTATTTAACCATCAGCCCCTCCCCATTCACACTAGTAAATACACTCACTCATACAAAACACAGAAACAGAAAACACATATTTTGACGGTTATATACCATAAAAAATTCCCCATTACCCTAAAAAGCGGAACAAGGGACCCTGAACCTAGCTACCGTTTTCTTAAATTCGGCGGCATGCCTACACGCTGTATGGAGCCAAGGCATGACACGCCTCTATTATGTTCATTAGTGTGCCGTAACACTTTCACACAAAACCACTATGACATCACAAGAATAGCACCACACTTTATGCACTGAAGATGACCCGAATAAAGGTAGAAACGTCGGCAAAAAAATAAACAACCTCATTCTTGACCGCTAATCACGACTTCAGTAAATTATGAAACAACAGGTCACTAAGAAACACACTAAGTATTGAGTTTATGGTACTCAAATTTATCTTTAGTTGTCCCTGTTTTTTTTCCTTGTGTGAAAGGTTTAATATATTGGTGAATTTAAAATTTTGTTTTTATGGTTGGTAACTTTTATTGTTTATTTTATTTTCTAAACATTTAATTGGTATTTGAAGAGGCAGTCAACTTCAATTTTAATAAATTTTCGGTTTACTTCAATAGATTTTGTAAAGGTAATTATAGTTTAACGTTTACAGAAACAAATGTAAACTATGTCTTGAGTTCATCGTACTCAGATTTATATGTCGCTGTTTTTTTTTCCCTACAGTATAGGGTTGTTATTTTTTAACTATTAAGACTTATGACAATTTATTCTTGTAGATCGATTTCGAAGCCCTGACCGGTTTCTTCTTGGTCCATAACCGAGCTCTTACAAGTTGCTGAAGAAGTCAGTAGACCTTCCAAAGCGCTTCAACAAGAGTAAATTGTTTTATGTCGTACTGGGTACATTAGTTTTGGTACTAAAACTGTTACTTTACTACGAAATGTACTCAAAACTATGGACTAAATAGTTATCAAATAAAAAGAACGATGAATTTACATAAAGACGGAAGAATAATTCCGTAATTTAAGTCATACCTGGTGACATTTGTATAGGATTTGCACCCTCGTGTTACAGCCGACGTTATCTCCTGTATCAGTACGTAATTGTTTAAACAGAAAATTTTGATATGCAAAAAAATCATATTTAATAATACGATTAAATGGTTTATGTATTTGATAAGTATTGAAATGGCAGGGGACAGCCTATAAAAACGGACAACGGATTATTTTTCAATTTTAAATCCGAGTGCATTATCCATTTTTTGTTTTATATCTCTGCCAAATAAACAAAATTCCTTATGAATTATGTAGAAAATGGTATGGTTTTATAAGTCTACACTTGCTTGCCGGGCCCGGCCCTATTAAGTTTTTATACTCGTTTGAATCTTTTTGTATTCTTAATCCGATTTCGCCCAAATTTTATTAGCTGCATACTTTATTATGGTTAAGGATAAATTTTTAAAAAATCCTTGCATAAAAGGTTCAATATGGAAATATTATAAATTTGTCAATTTCTGTTACTTTCTGCAAGATGAAACATAGCGAATGCTTTAAAATAAATAGGCCTAGTTACGGTCTAAATAATGAATATATTTATATATTTGTATAAAATAATCAAAAATTCTTGCCAGGAACGAGAGTGCCAAAGAAAGCTAGTTCTTAAAATATATCGTTCGTTCACCACGATTATTTTAAAAGCGGGGGATTAAAGATTCTCTTGTTGATCCTTGAGTCAGGTCATATGGCAAGTGTAAGCAAAAATAATTAGGGCTGTCAAAATTTTTGTTTTTGTCCCAACGTTGCTCCGCCGGTTTGGCTTTTTTACATCACGGTTCGAGTCTTTTAAGGCTCTGCAGTGCATGACTCGAGATACGCTTTATTGAGTATTTACTGAACGTGCCTTCTTTCCTTTTTGTTGTTAAAGATGAGGGCGGTTAACGCTAGAAGCTCTCCAGTTTCAAACGGCCGAGGAGGTAAAAAAACTCTACTCTTGCTCCGGAAGGGAGTAGTCTCTCTTCCGGTCTGGCCTTTTTTTTATCGGGAAAAGATAAATTTTAATAATGGAAGTAATAGGCAGTTTTCTTGTATTCGTGTCCATTTTTTATCAAAGTCGAACGGAATCAGCTCGATAAGCTATCTGGAACTATTGTACTACGGGGGCTGTGAGAGCCTGCAGTTTCCAAACCGAGAGGGGGGCTTTTGTTCACTGTCGACACTACCTCGAAATAACCCTCTTTTCACTCCTCAAATGGAATTTTAGCTTGTGGTTTTTTTTATCAAATTCTTGGTCGTTTTTATACTTTTTTAAAATGTATTTGTAGCCTACACATATTTGTACATACAATATATATGATTACAATACGGTTGTACACTTGGTAACAGTACTAACATTAATGCCACTGGTTACTCTGAGCTTATAGTACGTTAACATTGAAAAAACAGTCTTGCCCTCCTTTGTACATCAACAACAATGATACTTCCATTGAAGTCAAATACCTAGGACTATATCTAGGCAGCGGACTGACGTGGAATCCCCAACAAGACTTAAAAGTTATTAACTTAAAAGAAGTCTTGGACAACAAAAAAGTTGAAATCCGTGTTGACCGTCAAAACTAAACTAACCTTATACAAACAAGGCTTTACTGTGACCACTTTGGTCATACGGATTGGAACGGTAGGGTTCTTTCAAGCCATCTAACACTCAGTGCATCCAATCGTTTCAATGAAAAGTCCTCAGACAAATTGTCAAAGACCGTTATTACATCACTGTGTCATTTACATCATCAGGTCCCGCTTACAATTTGCAAGAAATGCTTGCAGTTAAATCCGATGATGTGAATGGACGTACTAAGATGTATAGGAATATCGTAGACGGCAACCATCAGATGGAACCAGCGATATCAGAATCTTTCAATGTATTATTAAAAGAGATCCGTTCGTTGGGTATTACATCGAACTGGAAGACACCTCCACTATCCACAACAATCTTAGTTGCTCGCACTGAATGCCAGCATTGGCAGGTTTCTCATGGTATGTGCGAGGCACATTTGACATATTGTAGGTAGCTTCGATAGGATTCGAGTTAGCGTATAAAATTGCGGTATCGTCCGTATAGGCTGTGATGACTGTATTAGGGTGCAGTAGTTCAACAGTGTAGATTATAAAAAGGATGGGACCAATAATGCTCCCTTGTAGGACGCCGTCTTGTGTATATATGATTTTCGAGAACTCATTGCCACACCTTACTCTAGAGCTGTTAGGTAGAATTTCAGCATAAGATCAATAAGTAGCGGGTAAGAAGTGTGTAAATTCTTAAAGCATGTCCGGGTGACAGACCCTATCAAAAGCCTGGGTTTTATACATTAATTTTTTTATTTCAAAACCATGAAAATCAAGTAGAAGGAAAACACCTGCGGTGAAACTAAAAGTAATGAGTATTGCTGATAGTAATGTCTGGATGAGGAAAATGTATTAAATTATAAACAAGTTTCAGTCATTGTCACGCACCGTTAATTTATGTTTTACGGTAGAGCAGTTTTAAATTATCCCTATTATAATGTACGAGTGTATTAGTAGGGTTTATTAATTCTTATTATGTGACAATATTTTTTTTTTCAAAATGGCGAAGATCAGCTGGTAAATTTTTTCACTTCGTACTTCTGGAAAACTATATAAAGAATTTAATAAAATTTATTTGGCAATATTGTCATGCGTTCAAATAAAAATTGACATTTTTGTTATTTTAAAGAAAAACTCGTTAGAGCAAGACATTGAAATTTATTTAGAAAGGACGTCGAATGATTGCCGGTAGAGGAACAGTCTTTCACAGTACATAACACTTTCTTTATAAACTTTTTTTCAACAAAAAAAGATGTGCAGTGAAGTGAAATGAGATGCCTTGAAGATTAAACGTTACCGATGTATCAGGCAAATGCCGACGGGATGTTCTCGTCCCAGGACTGGCCCTTGATACGTTTCGTTTTTGAAGGCGTTTGCATAACTTTGTTTGACTTTTTCGTATTCACCCAAGGCGGAATCGGCACGATTTTCTTTGGACGGACAAACACCGCACACGGTTGTTCATCATCTTTGCATGAAATGTTGGACGGGATTAAACAGTAGACTGGTTGGACGAAATACGGCTGGGCCTCTTGTTTATTTTTTTTATCTTTTCTCTGTTCTTCGCTATCATCGTTGTCGAGGTCATATGGCACTCGGCCCCCGCATCCGACGCACAATTTTCCCGAACCGTAACCCATGTCCTCCAAGGCCTCGGGTCCCGTCAAGGGGCAGCACATATTTGCAGCCGGAGGTGGCTTTTTGGATCGAACCACCTTGCCGAAATACGGGCAATTCCTATCGTCGCAACCCAAAACTTTCCTTTTTTTCTTGGTAGAAGGTTTACCGACAGAGTTCGTATCCTCGGCGGTCGACATTTTGGAGAAGGACTTCATGTCTCTAGACGACATCAGATATTTCTCTTGGTTTATTTTCAATTTGTTATAATTGACGGGTCTGTGAATGGACGAATATTCGCTCAGTTCTTTCTGTAAAGATTCGAATAGAATATTTTCGAAGTAAGGAGGTAGAGGGTTCGAAGCTACGGCATCGTCTTCCGTTTCTTCGACTTCCTCTTCCACAAATGTCGTGGGGACGTTCATGTTCGACACTTGCAAATCGCAGGATGAGGACTTGACCGTTATCTCGTTGCAAGCGCAAATCGTCATGAGTCTTTTTCTAGACGGTGCGGGACTTAGTGTGCCAACCGGGCTCAAATTTTTAAAACCGGCATTCGCTTCACCGTACTTGTTCGAAAATTTCGTTCCGTAGTAAGTTATACGTACTGAGAGTGTCACCGTCCCTACGGTACCTTGAAGAATGTTTTTTAAGAAAAATGTATCATACCGAGATTTGCAATTATTGTCTTCGTTTCTACTAAGAAGATGTAAGAATTGTCCACCCAAGTCCACACAACAGGATCCTATGCGTGGGAAATCACTGACTATATCCTTCCTATAAACGTGAATATCCACTTTACATTGGTCGAGGAGTTGGTTGTTTGTTATCGAGAACAAACACGATTTAGAGCATTGCAAGGTTGCGATAAACTCACCATTACCTGTTTTTTCATAAGTCGCACCGAGTTCTGAGCTGTCAAGCCGTAACGCCTCGTTGTTCGGTAGTCCTACTTTAATGTACAATTCATTCCTAAAGCCTTCTTTACAACGGGAAGTAAAAAAAGTGACGTTATTAAATTTTACTTCAAGAACGAAAACTCTACACGTACCCTTTTTTTGAGTTGGCATAATATCAATGTACCTGCTTTATTTTTTTTTTATTGTTGGTGTATCTTTTGTGAAAATTCCTTGCCGAAAATATACAATCACATGTTGTTTGTAATTAATATTCTATTTTCATTAATGTACCGTCGTACAAAATAAATTATTTATCTTAAATCTGTTAATTTAATCAAAATATTTTTACCAGTATACCATGATCATGAGAAATATTTTTTTAAAATGTTGAAATTCCTTACTATTAAATTATCGTTCAATTACTAAAATCTTTAAATACTATTAGTAATAATATGAAGGGGGCGTCGATGGCCGCAACGGTTAAGGCGTTGTCACGACGCTCACTGTAAAGGTTCTGGGCTCGAATCCAGGGTTTTTTTTCTTTTTTTTTTGTAACCCTGTGCGAAATCGATCAGAGCCGAATGTTGAATGGGAATTCGAATTAAGTACACATTTATTGACGACAATGGTGATTGTTTATTTAACTAATACAAGAAGACTGAGTTTAACTTCATATGGACGACTTCATGGAATAGCAACCTTTCTATTTTTTCGTATGTATGTTGTTGTATCTTTTGCTTTTACTAAAGGACGGATCATAGTGGCTATTTGGTAAAGGAGAAGTATTGCCTTTTTTGGTTTGGGTGAATGCGTTCGCCATGTGGCCTCCGTTCAACTGATCTTGGACATTGTTCCCACATCGGTAAGATGTCTGTTGAGAGCGGCGTTCGTGGGCATTCCCACCGGCACTAGGAGGAGGCAAATTGTGATGGCGGCCTTTGTTGTAAGCCTGGTTATTCTGGACGTGTTTGTTATCAGTAGATTGCTGAGGTGGAGGACTTATCTCTTTTGGTTTGGCGGTTATCCACGTGGTTTGAACTGCCGTCTTGTCTTGTGCCGTGCTTACCGTCGGATTTCCGTAAATCTTCACCGGTGCGTAATTTGTCATCGGACTAGGCTGTGCATTCCGATAAAATAATCGTAAATTATTTCCCAACGCGTTCCCCTGAGTGTAAGTCTTATTAGGCTGGTAGTGTTGTACGATATCTTGTCTGTTTGGTAGTGCAGAGTACTGCTGCTGAGGCCTGCCTGGACCATAACCACAATTCGGCTTACCTGCATAAGACAAAGATTTCTCGTTCGTTTTATAACCTAGCTTTTTAAGATCGTCTTCACATATTCCTCCTGGTGGATAATAAGGAACATTCACATTGAATCCTTTATTTTTTACCCCGTAGGGAGGCGGAATCGGAGGGTAAGGATAGTAAGACATGTAAGGATTGATGTAAAGGGATTGATTCGGTAGAGCGTTAGGCACCCCGTATGTACACATCGGTGGATTCTGATTTATGTTCATAGCATAATTTGCCGGGTTATTTGCATACATATGTGGTGTTATTCCGTTACCCTGCGGATAAATTGAATGGAGTTGGTTTTGATAAAGTAACGCTTGATTTTGATGTTTCCACATCTCCTGTTCTTCGTAATCAGCCAGTTCTTTCAAGTTCTTTATCAACCTTTCTGTATTGGCTTTGGCAAGATTTTCGAAATATCGGTCGGCACCGGGAAAATTTTCGCAAAATTGGTTGTAGTTTTGAGGAAATAGATTATCAGGCAAGTACTGTACCACTGACTTGTCTATTGGCTCGAGGTTCATCGCATTTGTGGACGGTTTCAGATCGCCGACCTTGTTTTTAAGTGCTCCTGTAAACGCCTTTTCTACATATTCTGGCAACTTGGGCGGTATTTGAGGAAAGGCGTTTTTCGATTCTTCGTTCAAATTTTGTTTACTTGCCGTTGACAAACCGTCAAAATTGAACGTGTCCTCGTAACGATCGAAGTTAGGCATATCTTTCTTTCTTGGTGTATAATTGTACATGGCCCAATTCGCCTCCGAGTCTCCTGGAATCATTTGCAAAATTATCTCTTCTTCGGTGTTAGACTCAAACCTCAAAATTGTCAAGTCGCATTCTGATTCCGCTGTTTTTACTTTGCCGTAAAAAGAAAGTTTCAGGATAAAGGTTATACACCCTCTTATGATGCCTTTTTTATCGTTAAAAACGCGCGTATCTTCCACACACTTGACATATTTGTTGGGGCTGAATTTAAGCAAATCTGAGTAAATTCCTCCCAAGGTGATCTTACAATGTCCCTCGCTTATTTTGACGTTCGACGTGTATTGGCGTAAAACCTTCAAATCCACTTCGCACGGTTTCTCCAGTTGGCTTGGGGTCGCAGAAAACAAACCGGACTTTCCGTATTTGAATATAATGTTCGTCACATTGTCCTCTCCATAATCGCGTTTCGTCTTATTCGGTGTCTCCTTTATGGACAGAGTCTGCCCGTCTAAATGTGACACAGTTACTATTGTTTCGTCGTTAGTTGTCTTCCGCGTATCGTAGTACGTAACTTTATCCAATACAAATTCCAAATGGAACAAAGTCTTGTACTCCCGTGGTTTCACCATTCTGTCGTCGTCGTTGTTATTCTTGAAACATTTCTTGCACACCAATTGATTCTATTTCATGCACCACATGATACTAAATTTATTTTTAACGACTGATTGAACTTAATTTACAAGTATATATTTTTCCTTTATGCACATATAGTGCAGAGGAGATGTAATTCCCATAAGCAAGAATATTGGATCATAGTTCCTCGGCGGTGAATTTATACGTCCACAGGAGAATCCCCGGGCAATAAACGTTTTTGTCCTCCAACAGAGTTTTCTCCTACATTTCCCGTGAGGTTTGACCCTTTATCTGCACATTTCCCACGAGAGGATCCTAATTTCAATTTACCACACTCCGTATTAGTAGAAACGTGAATTGCTTAATGACTTAAGTCTAATTGTTGTTGAAAAACAAAAAAAAAACATTCTCAATACGCTTTAGTGATTGTACATAAAGATTAAAAGATTATTGTTGAAAACGGCTTAAATTTTCTATCCTTAGGGTATAAAACATGCCACTGAAGTTGGGCTCAGGGGATGTCGATTAGGTCATTTCAGCCCTCAACACAATCCAAACCCATCTTACCCCTCATCCACTTTTAAATAATAATGGCGCGCAGCCCAATATAGTCTGTTCAAGCGGTGAAATTTAGCTTCTTCCCTTCGTGGCAATCTTTCATCGGCTAAAGCTTCACAGTGGTTCAGCAGATGTGTTCCAGTCTTATCTTCGCCACAGAGTGTACAAGAGGGGTAATCCGCAATACCTATACGATGGAAATAAGCCCGCAGATAAACATGAAGTGGGAGCAGTCTAAAACAACCGACAGCCACCATACGAGGAACGTCTTGTGGGCGAGGGTTATCAAGAAGAATTTAACACTGTTTCCCTTCTGAACTTGCTACATGCTTTTCTCTTTCTCCTTTAGTAAACTTTTTAAAAATCTTTCAATTAATTAAGGCTTTTAGTTGAGATAAAAATTGGTCAAGCGGACCACGAAATTGGTGAATTATTTTTAAAAATCTTTTTGTTGTTCCGTATTCTAAAGGAATCTTTGGTTGTTGAATTTCTGCTCCCAATTTCACTAGTTTAACTTCTTAATTTCCCATGATTTCACAGTGTCTAATCCACTGGAGGCAAATATTCCCCCCGGTAGCAATGAGCGCAGACATTTCCTCACTTATAAGCCTGACATCGCCTTCAGGCGAAACAATTACTTGTGTGGCTGCCCGAGATAAGTAAAACTACATTTCTGCTACGGGGTTCTTTCTTCCAACTGGATCAGATATTTGGAACCTCTCCGCATCAACTTTTGCGCCACCATTGCTTCGTGCTCCGTGGGCTGAACCATCAGTATACATGGATCCACTCTGTGGGTGGGAACCTTTCGTAAATTGCTTTAAGTATGGTGGGTGGGGTTTCTTTTTGTTTACTGGGGTTACCAAGCCTAGCATTACTTTCGAGCTGTAACGCACAGTCAAATCATTTGCCGTTGGAATTGGAAAATCCAGTCTGCTGTTTATATTTATCCCGGGGTTCACTCAGGGTGGTGGAGTACGTAATATTCCTCCATCACCGTGTATACAAACATTAATTGAGGGTCGATGGGTACTCAATATTCCGCTCTATCACGCTACTCATTCACACCAATAAATACATTCAACACACGCTAGGGACACAAAAATATCAGTCTATATACAATAAGACAACCCTGTTTCCTTCATGAATCGGAAGAGGGGATTTAAATACTCGCCGATGTGCTCAAGCATAATTCTCATTTCGGGTGGCATTTGAACGCGCTCTCTGTACGGAGCCAAGGGATTGCACCTTTCAATTAGGTGGGACACATCGAGTACCGGACATACGCTGGCTTTGGCTCAAAAGCAATTGTGTGTGTCAACCTCGCCTGGCCTATTCCTAGTCGAGTGAGGATGACCCTTCTACGACATTGTATACTAATGTACATCTATTTTATTAGTTGACTTATTATTTTATTTGTCCTTGTAATGTTTGTTTTTCTTTTCAGGAAATAGCAAAGACAAAAAGGACGCTCTTTCTCCTACATCAGGATTTGCTGGTGAGTTACCTTTGTTTCATCTCATTAGCACATTTTCCAATGTTGAACATTAATTACATAGTTCATTATTTTATGTGTCTGTGTTTATATTTTGCACATGAGTATTCCATTACGGAGTTTATTAGCCATGTGGCCCCTTAAATGTCTGCAGATGTTTCTTTAAATGATAAGCAAATGCAGATTCAAAAGTTAACCGGCAAAAATTACATAATTTTAACTACCATATTCAACCCTGATGCTAATTGATTGAAATTGAATTGATTACTTTTGTTTGTTAAGATTTTTAACTGTACAAATCCATTATTCACCTACATTTTTCATGAGTTAGATTTCCAGATTGAGTCTGGTTAAAAAAAAAAATTCTGCTTCTCTTGGACTTCTTAGATTTCTCATACGTGGCGAATTTGTTGGTAAATAGATGTTTGCAAAAATGTATTAGACATTTTGACTTTCCGATCTTCTGATATGTCTTCTGCACAACGTTGTATTCCTCTTTTTTTTGTGTTTGTGTCTTTGCTCGTGCGTGTACAACCTTTGTAGTTGTAAGTGAAGGAAATTTAATTCCTCCTGAGGTTTTCTGTCCCTGAGGAATAAATGACCCAGTACATTGAACACACCTCTTTACCAAGCCGCTAGATGGAAATCGTTTCTCTTTTCCCTGCAACTTTTATGTAACTTCAACCCTCTTCATTTCATGAAATCCTTTTCTTTATTGGTTTGTTAGCAAGTGGTTCTTCAAAAAGGGTCACGATATCTAAATTTTAAAAAAACTTTATCTCAATGAGTTTCATCCTTGTAACTTTGGATCTTGGTAAACTTTCAAGAGTGGGGGAAATAAAGAGGCATATTTAGGAAGTTATGCAATAATAAGAACCGCTTGGCGTCAAATAACATTGCAATCAGTCATAGTTTGAATCTCTGAGCTATTTTTCCCTTCCGTTCAATCGAAAAACACATCTCTTTTAGCTGATAATACGCATTTTGAACATTTCCTGTGTGTCATGACATTCCTTGGCTATGTGGTATGCAAGAACCTTGAAAAGTTGAATTATTTGATTCTTGCTTTTAAAATAAGTGTCCTAATGATGATTCACGTAAATAAATGACATAAATGATTCCATCATTGAAGGCTATTATGAAAACCTGATTACATGCAAATTGTCAAATTGAATACATACTGAACATAGTTTTAGCACTATTAGTCTAATTTTATATGTATTTTTTTAATCAACCTTCAGCCTGAATTTTTATACTTATTTAATATTGTTGCTCATATGGCATGAAAGAACTGAATCTGCGTCCTCTCTAGTTGCCCGTCATCAAACTTTAGTCATCATTGATCTCAGAGTTGGCGTACTGTCATCCCCCGTTCCTGGAAAAAAGATAGTAAATGGCGGGTGGCGGCGATAAAGTGTTTGTCGGTTTTGAAGTCAAAGAACCACGAAACGACACTAGAACGAAGATAAGAAAACCATGTTATTTATTTTTTAACTCACTTACGAGATGCCTTATTTTAAGAATGTCCGCATCTGCGATTTTTGATTGCAATATAAACCACTATACTGCAAATTTAAGTTTGTGATAAACAGTTTCGAATGAAATAAAATCATTGGCAAACATTTGTGTGAAAGAGAATTGTAGTTTAATGATATTTTAGGCTATTTTCAACTACATTGGAATTAGTTTTCAGCCTTTGATCCACAAAAAAACATTTTCAACTGGAACAAAATTGGAAGGCTTGATTTCTCTCTTTATTTCATGAAACAAGGATACAGTTTCTGAAAAGGGGTTAGTTAGGGTTATTTGTAAAACGGGACAGACAAGAATTTGTCAGTTGGTTTTACCGATCGTCTTGGGATTGTCAGGATGAAACGGACCCAAATGACGGTTTGGAAAATGTTTGCTGTTTACACGCCTACGCGCAAAAACAAACAAAACTATTGTAATTTGGTCGTAACATATCATTTTGGTCTGCCTATTCTTCATCACCCGCACATCACATGGACAAACAAAAATTAGAAAAAGTATAGCGTATATTATAAACTCTCAATTATTCCAACTAGATTTTTCCCTATTACTCTTTCGTCCTTTTCTCGGACTCGATCTTATCTTTCCATTTCTCGCCTTTCTTTTTCGGTCGTTCCCTTTTCTTGTTTACTCGCTTTGTCTCTCTCCCTCCCTCTCACTCACTCTCACTCTCGCACTCTCTCTCTCACTCACTCACTCACTCTCTCTCTCTCTATCTTTATCTTTCTCTCTCTCTCTCTCTCTCTCTCTCCATCTCTCTCTCCATCTCTCTCTCTCTCTCTCTCTCTCTCTCTCTCTCTCTCTCTCTCTTCTCTCTTATGCAAACTATTGTTCGAATTCTTTCTCAATTTCACACACTGAATACTTTTACATCTTTATATGTATGGAATATATAGTTGTTTTTTTTAAATTCTCAATCGAGAAATAATACAATAGTGTTTCTTACTTGAAAAGTCGTTTACTTGAGTGCCCGGTATTTAACCCAACTGGCTGCCCTTGAACGAATTGACAACAGTGTGAGAGAACTTGATTTTTTTTTTTTTACTTTTACCCTCGTTCGTGAGTGCCGGCGGATTCAGAACCCTTAACGAACGTTATTTGAACGGTGAGAAAGGAAAACGAATCGTTCCACATTGAGAACTGGATTAAAGCAGTTGTCCTGCCCTACATGTATGGCGATGCTCCACACTTAGAAAGGCTTAGAATAGTGCCCTGATTCCTACATGACCCTGGCAGTCACCTACAAACAGCCACTTTTAAGTCAAGTCTTTTCAACGGTACTTATGAGATTAATTTTATTTCTATTGAAGGTTAATTGGTCATACTTCTGACAGAATACGAGTTCAATACATATCGGATGTTCTGATTTACGAATCATTTCTTTTGGCATTTAAAAACTTTGCGAGCGGTCGATTCTCCACAATTTCGAAAAACGTTAATTTTGTCGCATTGTTCATAGCACAGTGTTATTCAATATTTAAACATTATGATTTGTTGTTTTATAACTTAATAATTGAGTCCATGTTATGAATAAGTCCTGTTTAGAATATCATACTCTTAAAGGTTTTTCATATTGCGTGTACTCATCATTTAAAATTATTTTGAAACATTACTTCATGACAGTGTTTATTTTGTGTGTGTGTTTTTTGACATAACTTATCGGGATTGCAATATCACGACAGTTAGAAGAACATAAATAATTATAAAAAATTGACACTTGCAAATCTCAAGTGGAATGTTTCGTAGGGAAACATCGGTTTTGAAGTTCTTCTTAAAGTGTGGGAGTGATGTGAAAGTATGTAAGAAAGGTCGTGGCCCGTTGGTAAGACCGTGGGGCGTTAACGGAGGACACGAGTTCGCTTAGCCAGCTGACTCTCTTTCCACGGCCTATTTTCCTTTTGGCGGAGATCATAACTATTACTGGGCTGGGTGTTAAAGAAAAAATAAACAAATCTTAGAATTTCTTGAGGAGTAATTCCGCTCTTTATAATATCTGATTTGGATTTTTGTCGAATTCAAATATGTTCGTTATATACAAATTACTTAAATTTTCCTCTGCCTGGCCTGAAATAGGTTTTTAATACCGGAAAATATATACACCACTACACCAAATAAAAAAGGAAAATTTCACTCAAATAGTAATTATCAACAATACTGCGGTTCGTTGCTACTTCTAGAAATCCAAATTGGACTTTATTGTTACCAAATACTTCATTTTATCGTCTGTCAAAAAAGTACAGAAAACTTTTGTTTCATAGAATGTAGAGAGAAATCATGTCTCAACTCTGTTCTAGTTTCCCTGCAAGAAAAACCTTTTTTTATTCGGTCGCAGAGAGAACAATTTTCAATTTGAAATACGCATATATTGGTTAAAAGGTGCACAGAAATAATGTTTTTTGTTCTCTTTTCCATTGGCTTATCGCTAATTGAAGGTTCGTGCTGTTTCACCCAAAAGTATTTGGCTTCAAACTCATTAAACTTCATATTACAAAGAAAATTCGTAATTTATCTATACCGCAAAACACGTCTTGTCGAGTACTTGTATTACTCGAAATAATATTTTTTTATTTATGAATGTAACAGATGTGCCCGATTGTTAGATTCGTTAATATAATATATTCTTTGATGTTACTCTACGATATGTGAGATATTTATTGTTACTGAGAATTATTATTTCGATATATTTGTGTGAGAGTGAGAAAGAACTAGCAATGCAGTCAAAAGTACGAGCTCAAAAAGTGGAGACAGATAAAGAATGCAAGCTAAAGATATAAAGTGAGAACGAAAAAGATAGGAGAGAAAGAAAGAAAAATGCCAAGGGAAAAAAGAGCGGGAGATTGATTAAACGTTTTTCACGCAAAGTTAAGTCTCGTGAACCTTTATTCCACTTAACGTGAATAGTAATTATACATACATTTTATACGTACATTTTACATTACACATACATTTTTATACATACATTCTTAGAATGCAGAAATATTAATTAATTTCAACGATGTTGGGTTGTGGGATGTGCAGTCAATACTGAGTGCACATCCCACAACCCAACATCTTTGAATATAACAGTCATAAATAAAAGCTATTAATTTATTTATGATTCCATGGTTTTATGATGGTTTTAGTTATTTTCCATCAGATGTTTTAGAAATTTTCTTTTGAAAGTTCGAAAACTGCTCTCAGGCGAAATAAATATTTGGAACCTTATTAAACAGCTTTATAATGTTAATTAAGAAAGAGTTGCAGTATTTTAGTTCTATGAATTGGAATTTCGAATATGTTGTTTTGTCTTAAGTTTAATGCTTTAATTTTTTCTTATATTTAAAAGAATTGATAGTTCGGTTGCTCAGTGTATAATTTTAAACATTGATGATATTATGGTCATTTTTGGTAATTTATAATATTTTAACATTATTTATGATCTTATATTTATCACATAAAGTTCGATAGTACTTTAGTCGTAATATATTTCTTAC